TAAATAGTCAAGTATGAATGTTTTAAAATTCTGTGGCACAACAGTGTTGAAATCGCTGATTTAAGGTAATAAACTTAATGTTTATTAAAAAATGTGTCAACATAAGAAAGATTCAAACCTATGAAGAATTTTTGTGAGTTTATTTGAGCCAAAGTGTCCACAAATGCCAGGAAGTAGAATCTCAACAGATTGAGATAATGCTCCAGAGAAAGGCAGTTTTGCATCTTGTTTTATGCGTTACAATCAAAAGAGGAGACGTATGTGGGTGACATGAAGTCCATTGGTGATAGATTAGGGAGGCAAGAGAAAGGCAAAGTGGGAAAACCTCTGGGATCGGATAGAAAGTAAAATGATAGACACACGCTTCTTTTACTTAGGTGGGTGCAGGATAGTTAACAGTCAACAATTAATTCAACAATGAGGGGATTTATGGTCTCCGCAGCGTGTACCTGTGCTTCGAAGGGTCTGGAAAAAGGAAAATTACTTTGACATTCCAACATGTTATCATAGATGCAAAAAGACAATAGACAGGCTCAGTTAAGGTAAAGATTAACCTTTGTCAGGGAAGATACTGGCCACCATAAATTGCTTTTAGTTGAAAAATTTTAATTTCAGACCCTGCTTTGTGGTTACTTTAGGAGTTTGCAAGGCTGCCACACAGGCCTTCCCTGAACTAATTAGGTTAGCATGTGGCCCTTTTTCATCCATCAGTGCATTCCTATATGTATCTACTAGAGGGCCGGTGCACAAATTCATGCATGGTTAGGGTCCCTCGGCCTGGCCAGCAGTTGAGGCCCATCAGGGGGCCGGGGAGGGGGGAGGGACCTCGGGAAGTTGGCCAGCTGGTGGGGAGGGGGACGGGGCTGCGGGAAATTGGCTGTGGGAGCGCACTCACCATCAGGGGGCAGCTCCTGCATTGAGTGTCTGCTCCTTGGTGGTCAGTATGTGTCAAAACAACTGGTTGACTGGTCATTCTGGTTGTTTGGTTGTAAGGGTCGCTTAGGCTTTTATATATATAGATGTATAGAAAAGTCTGGAAGAATGTATATCAAATATTAAGTGCTTATACCTAGTGATGGGATTATGAGTAATTTTTACTTTATTTATACTTCCAGCATTATTTCAAGTTTTTATAAAAATCACATCTTTTTTTGATGAAAAAGTATGTACATTTTGCGGGGGAGGGAAGAGAAAAGGAGAAATTAGTTTCAAGCTGTTGGAGAGCTGTGAAGCATTTCATCTAGTTAATTCAAGGCTTTTTAAAGAAAGCCATGACAGAATATGAAACTCTGAATACCAATTTCAAATTACTGTATATCAATTAATCTTTCACTTTTTATTTCATTTGATTATTCTAGGCCAGCCTTTATGGATGAATATGAGAAGATTGAGGAAGAATTGCAAAAGCAGTATGACATTTATCTGGAGAAATTTCGAAATCTAGCTTATCTGGAACAGCAACTCGAGGATCATCATAGGATGGAGCAAGAGAGGTTTGAGGTAAGTGCTTAGCCCATTCTTCTGCACAGACCATTCTTTCTGGTATGTTACTTTGTACTTGTTGACAAATCAGTTTGTAAATATCATTGTGAAAAAAATGCCAGTGAATGTTTGATATTAGTTTATTAAACTAATCTTTGATATTAGTTTATCATCAGGGTTTGGTCAATTAGGACTACAGACAGGGCTAGCATGTGACCTGTGCAGTCACATAAGACAGCTCTGAAGAGCCTGTGCTTGCTTTAATGCTCTGCTGTTGCCATCTTGAATAAATTTTTTTAACAGCATTCTTTTTTTTTAGTTGATTTCAAAGAGGAAGGGAGAAGGAGAAAGAAATAGAAACATCAGTGATGAGAGAGAATCATTGATTGGCTGCCTACTGTGTGCCCCTGTTGGGGATCGCGATTGCAACCCGGGCATGTGGCC